GAGTTACTGGGACCACAGGCGCACGCTACCACACCCAGCTAATTTTTTATATTTTACTAGAGACAGGTTTTCGCCGTGTTGCCCAGGCTGGTCTCGAACTCCTGAACTCACACCTATAATCCCAGCACTTTGGGAGGCTGAGGCAGGCCAAGGCAATCTGGCCGCCTTGGCCTCCCAAAGTGCTGGGGTTACGGCCACTGAGCCCGGCCAAATTACTGATATTTTAAAATCACCATTCTGTCCCCTCTTTAACCCTACCATTTCTAAGCTTTCATTGTAAGAGCTGACTGGAATTGGTTGGGCATGGTGGCTCACGCCTATAATCCCAGCGCTTTGGGAGGCTGAGGCAGGTAGATGGCTTGAGCCTAGGAGTTCAAGAACAGCCTAGAAAACATGACGAAATCCTGTCTCTAACAAAAAAACAAAAGCTAGCTAGTCTTATAACTCATTCTCTAGACAGACAGATAGATAGGTTTTTTTCAAAAGAGCTGACTGGAATTGCCCGACAGCTAATTTAAAAGGCTGAGAGCAAATATAGTTCCTAAAGAACTGTAATTATAAGTTTATAATTCCTTTTTTCATCTGTCCTACATATGGATTAAAGAAGTCAGAACCACCCATTTGATACATTAAATAGCAAATACTGTGCAGGCCTAAAGATTTTTAAAAAGGGTAAGTCCCAAGAGTCCTTATGTTTATACATGCACTTGGAGTGTTGTTCTTTATCCTTTTAAGCTTTTTCTTTTGTCCATTTATGGATTCATCTGAAGCTTTAGTAATTTTTCCTTTTTAATGTCAGAATTCTGTAAGGAACATTGAACATATGTTAGCATATAAAATAGTTTATTCTTGTGAAAATGCTGACAAAATAATTTGTGTATTGAATTTGGTATTTTTATTGCCTTCTAGTTTAATATTGACTATTTCTTTTTATATAAAGTAAGATTAACATAGCAATCTTTTTTTTTGAGATGGAGTTTTGCTCTTGTTGCACAGGCTGCAGTACAAGGGTGCGATCTTGGCTCACCGCAACCTCCGCCTCACAGGTTCAAGCGATTCTCCTGCCTCAGCCTCCTGAGTAGTTGGGATTATAGGCATATGCCACCACACCCAGCTTATTTTGTATTTTTACTAAAGACAGGGTTTCTCCATGTTGGTCAGGCTGGTCTTGAACTCCCGACCTCAGGTGATCTGTCCACCATGGCCTCCCAAAGTGCTGGGATTACAGGCGTGAGTCATTGCGCCCAGCCAGAGACTATTTCTTATTAAGATTGCTACTTTAGGGCTGGGCGTGGTGGCTCACGCCTGTAATCCCAGCACTTTACAAGGCTGAGGCGGGCAGATTTCGAGGTCAGGAGTTAGAGACCAGCCTGGCCAACATGATGAAACCCTGTCTCTACTAAAAACCCAAAAATTGTTCGGGCATGGTGGTGCTCGCTTGTAATCCCAGGTACTCAGCAGGCTGAGGCAGGAGAATCGCTTGAACCTGGGAGGTGGAGGTTGCACTGAGTGGAGATTGCACCACTGCACTCCAGCCTGGGTGACAGAGACTCCACTGAAACAAAAAAAGAAAGAAAGAAAAGAAAGAAAAGAAAGAAAAGAAGGAAGGGAGGGAGGGAGGGAGGGAGGAAGGAAGGAAGGAAGGAAGGAAGGAAGGAAGGAAGGAAGGAAGGAAGGAAGGAAAGAAAGATGTCTCCAAGTAAAGTATGGAAAAGTTGGCTTTGAGAAGAAATAAAAGTGTTAGTTTTTCTTCTGAGAAAGAGCCAGAGAGTGAAAGAGTGAAAATACAGATAAATTTTGAGGTTTTACATGTTAAGGAAGAAATCATCTCCTTAGAGGTGTGAGATAGCTGAAGGCTTAAGGGAAAGTAAAAAATTGGGGGTTGGTCACTATAATGAGTCAGACAATAAAAGTAACATCCAGCTATCACTGAAAGCTAGAAAGCATGAAAGCACAATGGGACCTATCAGCATTGTGTGACCTTCTCCAGCAAATTTTTTTCTTTTTCGAAGACTGGGGATAGGGAAGGTTCTCACTATTTTCCCAGTCTAGACTTGAACCTGTGATCCTCCTGCCTCAGCTTCCCAAGTAGCTGGGACTACAGGCACAAACCACCATGCCTTGCTTATCATAAATAATTTTGGCTGGGCATGGTGGCTCACACCTATAATTCCAGTACTTTGGGAGGCCAAGGCGAGTGGATCATCTGGGGTCAGGAGTTCAAGACCAGCCTGGCCAACATAGTGAAACCCTGTCTCTATTAAGAATATAAAAAATGAGGCCGGGCGCGGTGGCTCAAGCCTGTAATCCCAGCACTTTGGGAGACCGAGACGGGCGGATCACGAGGTCAGGAGATCGAGACCATCCTGGCTAACATGGTGAAACCCCGTCTCTACTAAAACATACAAAAAACTAGCCGGGCGAGGTGGCGGGCGCCTGTAGTCCCAGCTACTAGGGAGGCTGAGGCAGGAGAATGGCGTGAACCCGAAAGGCGGAGCTTGCAGTGAGCTGAGATCCGGCCACCGCACTCCAGTTTGGGCGACAGAGCGAGACTCCGTCTCAAAAAAAAAAAAAAATTAAAAGAGTAGAGAGAATAGACATACTTGTTTTGCTGGTATAGGCCCAGACTCTGCTTGGAAGGATGTTCAATAAACACACACTGTTGCTCCCAGGGCAGGTGGTGGCAAAATACAATAGGAAATGTGACCCTGCAGCCATGCAAGACAAAGGCTCTTTATGGAGCTGAGAGAGAAGGGTGGGTGACTTATCACTGTATATCCACCTGTCCTTTTTTAATTTTGACACATATAAATGTAACTACTTATTCACAAATAATAAAAATTACAAATTGTAAATTGCCTTAATTACTTGCAAATTACCCAGTCCTTCCAATCTCTTTTTTTATTGATACCTCATAATTGTACACATTTGGGGGTTTGTAATATTTTAATACATGTATACAATGTATAATACTCAAGTCAGGGTAACTGAGATATCCATCACCTGAAACATTTATCTTTGTTTGGGAATCCAATCATTCCAATATCGTTTTTGTTGTTGTTGATTTTAGGTGTCTTTTTTTGTTTGTCTGTTTTTGATATACAATCTCGTTTGTGGCCCAAGTTAGAGTGCAGGGGCACGATCTCGGCTCACTGCAACCTTTGCCTCCCAATTCAAGCAATTCTCGTGTCTCAGCCTCCAGAGTAGCTGGGATTATAGGCACACACCACCACGCTCATCTAATTTTGTATTTTTAGTAGAGATGGAGTTTCACCATGTTGGCCAGGCTAGTCTCAAACTCTTGACCTCAAGTAATCCGCCCGCCGCGGCCTCCCAAAGTGTTGGGATTACAGGGGTGAGCCACCGCATCTGGCCTGTTGATTTTTGTTTGAGACAGTGTCTCACTATGTCACCCAGGCTGGAGTGCTGGGACATGAATATGGCTCTTTGCAGCCTCAACCTCCTGGGCTCAAACAATCCTCCAGCCTTAGCCTCCCATGTATCTGGGACCACAGGCACATGCCACCATGCCCAGCTAAATTTTTAAAAATTTTTTTGGTAGAAATGGGGTGTCATTTTGTTGCCCAGACTGGTCTCAAAGTCCTGGGCTCAAGCAATTATCCTGCCTCAACCTCCCAAAGTGCTGGATTATATGTGTGAGCCACCGTGCCCAGCCTCAATTTCTTTCTTTTTTTTTTTTGAGACAGGGTTTCACTCTATTGCCCAGGCTGGAGTTCAGTGCACAATCATAGCTCACTGCAGCCTCAAACTTTTGGGCCCAGGTGATATTCCCACCTCAGCCTCCCGAGTAGCTCGGGCTACAGGTACATGTCACTACACTGAGCTAATTTTTTTTTTCTTTTGTAGAGATGGTGTCTGTGTTGCCCAGGCTGGTCTTGAACTCCAAGGCACAAACAATCCTCCCATTACGGCCCCCAAAGTGCTGGAATTACAGGCATGAGCCATCGCACCCAGCCCCAACTTCTGGTTCTAAATCACTAAATCCCACTCCTCTTCTCCAACAAACCTGACTTCAGAAATCACCTTAAATTCATCAAGCAGTACTTACCTATATTACACTTCACTTAAGTTTTAAAACTTGTATCTAAAAGAAAAGACTGAAATAAAATATATTGAAATACTAGTAATTTTTGGATAACAGAATTATATAACCTTTTATTTCCACAATTTTAAAGACTTTCTGACATATATGTTTAGGTCACCTTAAATCTTTTCTAGAATAAAGAATTAAGTGCTTCCTATATATCAGACCTTAAGTATTTTATGTATATTAAATCATCTCATGCTTATAATCCTATGAAGTAGCTGTTTTATTAATGTCATTTTAAAGGTGAAGAAACTATGACATAAAGGTTGAGTAATGTGCCCAAGATTACACACAATATGAACAAAGGTACATTGGCTCCCAAGCACATATTCGATACATACCATCTCAAATAAAAGAAGTTTTTTTTAATAGTGAAAAAAACTTATTTAAAAAAAAATGAGTTCTGGCCGGGCGCGGTGGCTCACGCCTGTAATCCCAGCACTTTGGGAGGCCGAGGCGGGCGGATCACAAGGTCAGGAGATCGAGACCACGGTGAAACCCCGTCTCTACTAAAAATACAAAAAATTAGCCGGGCGCGGTGGCGGGCGCCTGTAGTCCCAGCTACTCAGGAGGCTGAGGCAGGAGAATGGCGTAAACCCAGGAGGCGGAGCTTGCAGTGAGCCGAGATCGCGCCACTGCACTCCAGCCTGGGCGACAGAGCGAGACTCCGTCTCAAAAAACAAAAAAACAAAACAAAACAAAAAAACAAAACAAAACAAAAAAAATGAGTTCTTTAATCAATCTAAATCATTACTACTCTATTACTATGTAGCTCTCTGTACAGTTAAATGGTAAGATATACTTGCAAAACTGCGTATTACAATAAGTGGTATACTCATGTGGATAACTGCAGGTTACATAAAACTAACAAAAGTATAAACTAATAACATACCTCTCCTCTATTCTGTTTTTATCCATGAGAGGCTGCTTAATCCACTGGTTAACAAGTCTTTGTCCTTGAGGGGTTTTACACTTATTCAGCAAGGCAGCCAGAGACTGAGAGCCAGTGGTATCTTCAACAGAACCCTAGTACACAAAAAATAAAATAGAAAGAATGACACACTCATTAGTGAAAACCTTACTATGCCATGAAAAACAGAGAAACAATAACATAATATTCTTCAAATATTAAGAAATTTCCACAAAAAGTTCCTCTTCCTAAGACCAACTTTCAACTTCTTAATCCGTATGTTCAGCTGTACATTTCTCCCCTAGCCAAAACCACTTTATAATTACTACAGTTTTATTTTTTATTTGTTGAGATAGGGTCTCACTCTACTGCCCAGACTGGAGTGCAGTGGTGCCATCCTGGCTCACGGCAAGCCAGAACTCTTGGGCTCAAGGAATCCTCCCACTTTAGCCTTTCAAGTAGCTGAGACTACAGGCGCATGCCACTAAGCCCCGCTAATTTTTTCTCATTATGTTGCCCAGGCTGGTCTCAACTCCTGGCCTCAAGTGATCCTCCCAGCCTGGGCTCCCAAAGTGTTGGGATTACAGGCATGAGCCACGTTACTCAGCCACTTACTGCAGTTTTAGACATAAAGCTTCTTAGAATGTCATTTTAAATTGCTAGGCCAGGCACAGTGGCTTACGCCTACAATCCCATCACTTTGGGAGGCTGAGGCAGGCAGATCACCTGAGGTCAGGAGTTAGCGACCAGCCTAGCCAACAAGGTGAAACCCCACCTCTACTAAAAATACAAAAATCAGCTGGGCATGGTGGCAGGCACCTCTAATCCCAGCTAATTGCCCAAACCCGAGAGGCAGAGGTTGCAGTGAGCTGAGATCACACCACTGCACTCCAGCCTGGGCAACAAGAGACTCCGTCTCAAAAAAAAAAAATTGCTATTAGTAGTAGTACACAAAATTATTCATAAAGTAAGGACTAATACTACATAGATAGCTTGAAACTAGAGGAAAAAAAAAAAAAGCAATTCGAGAGCAAGGCACAGAGGCGCACCTGTAGTCCCAGCTACTTTGGAGACTATGATACAAATGCTTGAGCCCAGGAGTTCAAAGCTGTAGTACACTCTGATGGCACTTCCTGTGAATAGCCACTGCACTCCAGCCTAGGGAGCATACACAGTGACACCAGCCTCTTGAAGAAAAAAAAAAAAAAAAAAAGCCTTGAAAAAAAAATACCAGAGCATGGTGGTTCATGCCTGTAATCCGAGCCACTACTCCAGAGGCTAAGGCAGAAGAATCACTTGAAGCCAGGAGTGAGTGAACATCCTGGGCAACACTGTGAAACTCCAACTCTGAAAAAATGTTAAAATTAAGCAAGCATGGTGGCTTGTGCCTGTAAACCCAGCTACTTATGAGGTTGAAGCAGGAGGATAGCTTGAGCTCAGGAGTTCAATACTGCAGTGAGCTATGATTTTCCCACTTCACTTCACGCTGGGTGACAGAATAAAGCCCAGTCTCTAAAAAAGTAAAAAGTAGGCCAGGCGCGATGGCTCAAGCCTGTAATCCTAGCACTTTGGGAAGCCGAGGTGGGAGGATCACCTGAGATCAGAAATTTGAGACCAGCCTGGCCAACATGGTGAAACCCTGTCCCCCTGTCCCTACTAAAAATATAAAAATTAACCAGGCATGGTGGCAGGCAACTGTAATCCCAGCTACTTGGGAGGTGGAGGTTGCAGTGGGCCGAGATTGTGCCACTGCACTCTAGCCTAGGGGACAAGTGAGACTGTCTTTAAAAAAAAAAAAAAGTTAAAAAGTGGAGTGGGGGAGGGGAGAGAAGAGAAAATATAGCCTTTTGAAGCTACTTACCTAATCCAAGTATAATAATATTTCAAAATATTTTAGCTCCCTAATAAAATTCTTCAGTATATGTCAATGAAAACATTTTTAAACCATTCAACATTTTTAACCCTTTTTTTTTTTTTTTTTTTTTTTTTTACCTGAAAAAGGTTAAGGGCTCTGACTGCTGCAATATCCAATTTCATGTACTGGCTGAAGTCAAAAGTAGTCAGTTCAAACTGTCCAAAATTGGAATCATCTGATAAGAGTTCTAAAAACTTGATTACCGCAGACAATGATGAAACTGCAACCTAAAATTAAGAATTTAAAATCAAAGATTTCTATACCACTGGATCCAGTTCTAAAGATTTTCAAAAACAAATACAAAATGAAAATAAATTCTGAACTCCATCATTTTCCTTGGTGTTCCTTCCCAGTCCAAACCAAGAAAACCAATGGTTAATCTCTTGAGATTTGAAAATGGTTTTTACAAGGTGAAAATTAATGGTAATCGCAGTATTATTTATAATAGCCAAAAAAGAAAATTACCCAAATGTCCATCAAAACTAAAATGGGGGGCAGGCGTGGTGGCACATGCTGTAATCCAAGCACTTAGGGAGGATGAGGCGGGCAGATGACTCGAGGCTAGGAGTGTGAGACCAGCTTAGCCAACATAGTGAAACCCCATCTCTATTAAATATACAAAAATTAGGCCCTTTCAACCTTGTGAGGTTAGAGTGAGAAAATGGTTATCTATGAGAAAGTGGGCCCTCACTGGACAACAGATTAGCCAGTGCCTTAATTTTGAACTTCCCAGTCTCCAGAACTGTGAAATAAAAATACAAAAATTAGCTGGGCATGGTGGCACATGCCTGTAAACCCCAGATACTCAGGAGATGAGAAAGGAGAATTGTTTGAAACCAGAAGACGAAGGTTGCAGTGGGCTGAGATCACACCACTGCACACTGCAGCCTGAGCAACAAGAGCGAAACTCCGTTCCAAAAAAAAAAAGAACTGTGAAAATTAACTGTAATCGCAGGAGTATTTGTAACAGCCAAAAATGAAAATTACCCAAATGTCCATCAAAATTAAAATGGGGGTTGGGCACAGTGGCTCACATCTGTAATCACAGCACTCTGGGAGGCTGAGGCGGTGGATCACCTGAGGTCAGAAGTTCGAGACCAGCCTGGCCAACATAGCAAAACTCCCCCTCTACTGAAAATACAAAAATTAGCCAGGCACGGTGGCGTGCAGCTGAACCCAGAGGCAGAGGTTGCAGTGAGCTGAGACCGCACCATGGAACTCCAGCCTGGACAATAGAGCAAGATTCTGAGACTCCATCTCAAAAAAACAAAAAAAAAAGGTTAAAATGGGGAGAGTAGCAGCGGCAGGGGGAAGGGAAGTAAAATGGATAAATTCTGACGTTTGTGCTATGAAATATGAACGCAAAAATCCATAACTACACTCAATGATATGGATAAGTCTTACAAACATTGAATGAAAGAAGCTAGGGAAAATATATGATATAATTCCATGTATATAAACTATAAAAACAGGCTGGAGGCGGTGGCTCATGCCTGTAATCTCAGCGCTTTGGAAGGCCAAGGCGGGCAGATCACCTGAGGTTCAGGACTTTGAGACCAGCCTGACCAACATAGAGAAACTCCATCTCTACTAAGAATACAAAAAAAGATTAGCCAGGCGTGGTGGCACATGCCTGTAATCCCAGCTACTTGGGAGGCTAAGGCAGGAGGATCACTTGAACCCGAGAGGCAGAGGTTGCGGTGAGCTAAGATTACGCCATTCTACTCCAGCCTGGGCAACAAGAGCGAAACTCGGTCTCAAAAAAAAAAGCTTACTATCATTGATACACAGCTTAGGGTTTAAGACAAAAATGACAAATATCCTTCTAAAAAGTCACTATAATTTACATATTATTTATATTATATATTTACATTATATATATTGTAATTCACATTTATAATCCATGTACCTGATTCTCCATTTCTGGCAATACAGCACTATTCATCTGTTCTCCCTTTTTGCCTTTCAACAGCCGGTTGAGGTCCTGATAAATGTCTTTCGTGGAAAAGTCAGCTTTTTTTCTTTCTGTGATCAGAATCCCTCCTCTTTGAATAATCTATTTTGAAATAAATAGTTTAAACTACTATGAAAAAAGGAATAAGAAAAGCAATAATGAAAATGATAACATTGATAATTATAGTGATAACAGATTAACCTACATTAAATGTTTACACAATGTGCAAGACATTGATAATATGATGTACTGACACACTTTTTACATCAATAAACTAAATTTTCATCAAAATATAAAATTACGTTCACATAAAGCTTTCAAAAAATAGTCCCAACTGTAACAACTCTTTTTTTGTTTTGAGACAGAGTCTCACTGTCACCCAGGATGGAATGCGGTGACACAATCTTGGCTCACTGCTACCTCTGCCTCTCAGGTTCAAGAAATTCTCCTGCCTCAGCCTCCCAAGTAGCTGGGATTATAGGAGCAAGCCACCATGCTTGGCTAGTTTTTTTTCCTTCTTTGCATTTTTAGTAGAGACACTGGACAGGCTGGTCTCGAATCCCTGACCTCAGGTGATCCGCCCGCCTCAGCTTCCCAAAGCGCCAGGATTACAGGTGTAAGCCACCGCCCCCGGCCACAAATAATAACCCTTAACAGAACTATTACTTGTGGAAAGTTGCTTAGATACAATCTATGCTAAAAATGTCCATCACATGTGTTATCTCCAGTGGTGCTTATGGTACTTGAAGATCACAAAAAGTAAAGAATCCTCGGGAGATACATACCTTAAGAAATATCTAGGCCAGGTGCTGTGGCTCATGCCTGTAATTCCAGCACTTTGGGAGGCTGAGGTGGGGGGATCACCTGAGGCCAGGAGTTCAAGACCAGCCTGACCAACATGGTAGAACACTGTCTCTACTAAAAATACAAAATTGGCCAGGTGTGGTGGGGCATGCCTGTAATCCCAGGTACTCGGGATGCTGAGGCAGGAGAATCGCTTGAACCCAGGATGTGGAGGTTGCAGTGAGCTGAGATCATGTCATTACACTCCAGCCTGGGCACCAAGAGTGAAACTCCACCTCAAAGAAAAAAAAAAAAGAAGTATCTAAATAATAAACTACATGCCTATAACAAATGACACAATCAAAGCCAAGCATGGTGGCTCACGCCTGTAATCCCAGCACTTTGGGAGTCCAAGGTGGGTGGATCACAAGGTAAGGAGTTCAAGACTAGCCTGGCCAAGATGGTGGAACCTCATCTCTACTAAAAATACAAAAATTAGCTGCATGTGGTGGTGCACACCTGTAATCCCAGCTACTCAGGAGGCTGAGGCAGAAGAATTGCTTGAACCTGGGAGGCGGACATTGCAGTGAGCCAAGATCGCACCACCGCACTCCAGCCTGGGTGACAGAGAGACTTGGTCTCAAAAAACAAAAAACAAATCACACAATCAGAATTTAGTTAAAATAAATAGCAAAATAACAGGCTAAAGTTCCACTCAAACTATCAAAACATGCTAAAGAACTGCATCTTATTTGATAAAACCATAATTACAGTGATATTTACTGTAATAATTACTCTTTTGGAACACAAGACAGAAAGGAAAGGGGGGAGAAAAGATCTGAGGTAAAATAAATCTCACACAAGAAACAGCTTGTTTTAATGTCCAATTAAATATACCGTTTCTGTCAATGTAAACATCAAAACATTATTTTAATTAGATACAAAAAAAATAGAGTTTTTTATTATTTTTCCTTAAATAAAACAGTATCATGTCAATTAAAGAGCCTTTCCTAGGCCTGGAATCTCCTCTATCACTAGACTCAATCTGCTTACCTGTCTCAGTTTCCCCATGTCTCCAGCAGTCTCTCCTCCAGGTAAAACACATTCCTTTGGTCCAATCTGGATGAGGAGAGCCTCAAGATTGGAGAACTGATCATTATCAGGGAATTCACACAGTCCTAGCTTCCTCTGTATGGAATCCACATACCCAACTCCAACCTGTCTCTGGCCATCAACTGTGGACATTTTAACACCCACAACACCAATGGAAGCTGACATATCATTGTTACCAAAGAGAATGTCTTCAAACTGAGATAGATTGCCAGGAGAAGCCTAAGTAAAAATAAAATTTCAAAAATTTAACAAACTCTTCAATGTACTTTAAAATTTTACTAGCAAAAAGGAAAAATCCAAACTCAATGAACCTTGTTAATAAAATGCTTTCTTTTTTTTTTGAGATGAAGTCTTGCTCTGTCACCCAGGCTGGAGTGCAATGGTACAATCTCGACTCACTGCAACCTCTGCCTCAAGGTTTCAAGCAATTCTCCTGCCTCAGCCTCCCGAGTAGCTGGGAATACAGGCGCACACCACCACGCCCAGCTAATTTTTGTATTTTTAGTAGAGATTGGGTTTCACCATGTTGGCCAGGCTGGTCTCAAACTCCTGACCTCGTGATCTGCCTGCCTTGGCCTCCCAAAGTGCTAGGATTACAGGTGTGAGCCACCACACCTGGCCAATAAATTGTTTTCTTATAAAAAATAACTGGCCGAGTGCAGTGGCTCACGCCTGTAATCCCAGCACTTTGGGAGGCCAAAGTGGTCAAATCATGAGGTCAGGAGATCAAGACAATCCTGGCCAACATGGTGAAACCCCGTCTCTACTAAAAATACAAAAATTAGCCAGGTGTGGTGGCACGCACCTGTAATCCCAGCTACTTGGGAGGCTGAGGCAGGAGAATCACTTGAATCAGGGAGTCAGAGGTTGCAGTGAGCCAAGATGGCACCACGGCACTCCAGCCTGGCAACAGAGCAAGACTCTGTCTCAAAATAAATAAACAAATAACTGCTTGTGGTTGGGCACAGTGGCTCACACCTGTAATCTCAGCACTTTGGGAGGCCAAGGCAGGCAGATCACTTGAGGTCAGAAGTTCAAGATCAGCCTGGCCAACATGGTGAAACCCCGTCTCTACTAAAAATACAAATCTGTAGTACTCATTTGTGGCCAGCCTTACCTATTATAAGGATCTTACAAATACTTGTCTCTATTATGACCTTAGTACTGGCCCTGCCCTCCCCTTCCCTGGCCCTCCCCTCAGAAATTATCTATCTAATCTATCCCTCTATAGAGATGAGATCTTCCTACATTGCCCAGGGTGGTCTCAAACTCCTGGACTCATGCAATCCTCCTGCCTTGGCCTCTGAAAGTTAAACTGTAACCTCAACCTCCTGGGCTCAAGTGATCCTCTCACCTCAGCCTCCTGATTAGCTGGAACCACAGGTGTGTGCCAACAGCCCCAGCTAATTTTTTTTAATTTTTTTATCTTCAATAGAGATGAGGTTTTACCATGTTGGGCAGGCTGGTCTTGAACTCTTGGGCTCAGGCAATCTGCCTGCCTCAGCCTCCCAAAATACTGGGATTACAAGCAAGAGCCACTGTGCCCAGCCAAACTGCAACTTTTTAAAAACCACATGCTAATTGCTACTAAAGTGTCTCAAAGCATTCTATTATCACAGTCCACTTAAAATACTAAAACACAATTAAATTCTTCACATTTTTATTTCTCTACTCTTAAAAAAATAAGTAAATTAAAAAGGAAGATAATTACCTTATATGCCAAATACCAATCATTCTCCTTGGATGCCTTATTTCCAGCTCTGTTCTTATAAACTTCAACTCTATACTGACGAACCAGAAGAAGATCTTTTACAAAAGATTCAAAATTCATTTTACTAAGCACAACACTCTGCAGATTCTTTGCTCCTTAAAAAAAAAAAAAAAAAAAAGTACATTACAGATTTGAGATATTACATGTTCAAGCACTGTATTAGTCGGACTTCACACTGCTGATAAAGACATACCAGAGTCTGGGAAGAAAAAGAGGTTTACTGGACTTACAGTTTCACGTAACTGGGGAGGTCTCACAATCATGGCAGAAGGCAAGGAGGAGCAAGTCATGTCTTACATGGATGGCAGCAGGCGAAGAAAGAGCTTGTGCAGGTAGACTTCCATTTTTTTTTGTTTTTTGTTTGTTTTTTTGTTTTTTGAGACGGAGTCTCGCTCTGTCGCCCAGTGCAGTGGCGTGATCTCGGCTCACTGCAAGCTCCGCCTCCTGGGTTTACGCCATTCTCCTGCCTCAGCCTCCTGAGTAGCTGGGACTACAGGCGCCCGCCACCGCGCCCAGCTAATTTTTTGTATTTTTAGTAGAGACGGGGTTTCACCGTGGTCTCGATCTCCTGACCTTGTGATCCGCCCGCCTCGGCCTCCCAAAGTGCTGGGATTACAGGCGTGAGCCACCGCGCCCGGCCAGACTTCCATTTTTAAAACCATCAGATCTCATGCGACTTATTCACTATCACGGCAACAGCATGGGAAAGATCCATCCCCATGATTCAATTATCTCCCACCAGGTCCCTCCCATAACACATGGGAATTCGAGATGGGATTTGGGTGGGACACAGCCAAACCATATCATTCTGCCCCGACCCCTCCCAAATCTCATGTCCTCACATTTCAAAACCAATCATGTCTTCCCAACAGTCCCCCAAAGTCTTAACTCATTTCAGCATTAACTCAAAATACCACAGTCTAAAGTTTCATCCAACACAAGGTAAGTCCTTTCCACCTATGAGCCTGTCAAATCAAAACAAGTTAGTTACTTCCCAGATACAATGGGGTACCAGCATTGGGTAAATACAGCCCTTCCAAATGGGAGAAATTGGCCGAAACAAAGGCGCTACAAGCCCCATGCAAGTCCAAAACCCAGCATGGCAGTCAAATCTTAAAGCTCCAAAATGATCTCCTTTGACTCTATGTCTCATGTCCAGGTCACGCGGATGCAAGAGGTGGGCAACCACAGCCTTGGACAGCACTGCCCCTGTGGCTTTGCAGGGTACAGCACCCCTCCTGGTTGCTTTCATGGGTTGGCGTTAAGTGTCTACAGCTTTTCCAGGCATATGGTGAAAGCTGTCTGTGGATCTACCATTCTGGGGTCTGGAGAATCATAGCCCTCTTTTCACAGCTCCACTAGGTGGTGCCCCAGTAGGGACTCTGTGTAGGGGCTCTGGCCCCACATTTCCCATCTGCATTGCCCTAGCAGAGGAACTCATGATCACCCCACCCCTGCAGCAAACTTCTGCCTGCACATACATCCCTGAAACATAGGCAGAGGTTCCCAAACCTGAATTATTGATTTCTGTGCACCTGCAGGCTCAACACCACCTGGAAGCTGTCAAGGCTTCAGGCTTGCACCCTCTGAAGCCATGGCCTGAGCTCTACCTTGGCCCCTTTCAGCCATGGCTGGAGCAGCAGGCCACCAAGCTGCTAGGCTGTACACAGCATGGGAACCCTGGGCTGGCCCATGAAACCACTTTTTTCTCCTAGGCCTCTAGGCTTGTGATGAGAGGGGCTGCCATGAAAACCTCTGACATGCCCTGGAGACATTTTTCCCATTGTCTTGGGGATTAACATTGGGATCCTCATTACTTATGCAAATTTCTGCAGCTAGCTTGAATTTCTCCTCAGAAAATGGGATTTTCTTTTCTATCACATTGTCAGGCTGCAAATTTTCCAAACTTTCATGCTGTTTCCCTTTTAAAACTGAATGCCTTTAACAGCACCCAAGTCACCTCTTGAAAGTTTTGCTGCTTAGAAATTTCTCCCGCCAGATACCCAAAAGAATTTCTCTCAAGTTCAAAGTTCCACAAATCTCTAGGGTGGGGCAAAATGCCACCAGTCTTTTTACTAAAACATAACAAGTGTCACCTTTGCTCCAGTTCCCAACAAGTTCCTCATCTCCATCTGAGACCACCTTAGCCTGGATTTCATTGTCCATATAATTATCAGGATTTTGGTCAAAGGCATTCAACAAGTCTCCAGGAAGTTCTAAACTTTCCCACATTTTCTGGTCTTCTTCTGAGCCCTCTAAACCGTTCCGACCTCTGCCTGTTACCCAGCTCCAAAGTCACTTCCATATTTTCGGGTATCTTTTCAGCTGCGCCCCACTCTCCTGCTACCAGTTTACTGTTTTAGTCCATTTTCACACTGCTAATAAAGACATACCCAGCTGGGTGTGGTGGCTCATGCCTGTAATTCCAGCACTTTGGAAGGCCGAGGCAGGCAGATCACGAGGTCAAGAGATCAAGACTATCCTGGCCAACATGGTGAAACCCCATCTCTATTAAAAATACAAAAATTAGCTGGGCGTGGTGGCATGCACCTATAGTCCCAGCTACTTGGGAGGCTGAGGCAGGAGAATCGCTTGAACCCAGGAGGCAGAGGTTGCAGTGAGTTGAGATTGTGCCACTGCAGTCCAGCCTAGCAACAGAGCAAGACTGTCTCAAAAAAAAAAAAAAAAAAGACATAGCTGAGACTGGGCAATTTACAAAAGAACAAGGTTTAATGGACTTATGGTTCCACATGGCTGAGGAGGCCTCACAATCAATGAGGAAGGCAAGGACGAACAAGTTACATCTTACATGGATGGCAGCAGGCAAAGAGAGAGGGCTTGTGCAGGGAAACTTCCGTTTTTAAAACCATCAGATCTTGTGAGGCTTATTCACTACCAGGAGAACAGCACAGAAAAGACCACCCACATGATTCAATTATGTCCCACCAAGTACCTCCCACAACACGTGGGAATTCAAGATTAGATAAGGGTGGGAACACAGCCAAACCATATCAAGCACCTAACACATTGCTAACCCAAAAACTTCCAGTGTTTTTTCAGCAATTTATTCATTCAATAAATTGTCTACAAAGCACTATTATATGTGCAGGGACTATGGAAGGTAATATAAAATAGTGAATAGCATAGACCCTCTGCTTATATGGAGTCTACACATAAAAATCAAAAGTTCTAAAGATGATAACTTTTTAATTTTTTTGTAGAGATGGGTCTCGCTGTGTTACACAGGCTGGTCTTCAACTCCTAGCATCAAGTTATCCTCCCACCTTGGTATCCCTAAGTGCTGAGATTACAGGCACGAACCACTGCACTTGGCCTGTCCTTTCTTATAATTTGTTTTAAAGTCTTTTTTTTTTTTTTTTTTTTGAGATGGAGTCTCACTCTGTTGCCCAGGCTGGAGTGCAGTGGTAGTATCTCTGGCTCACTGCAAGCTCCGCCTCCTGGGTTCATGCAATTCTCCTGCTTCAGCCTCCCAAGCAGCTGGGGCTATAGGCACCTGCCACCACGCCCAGCTAATTTTTTGTATTTTTAGTAGAGATGAGGTTTCACCGTGCTAGCCAGGATAGTCTCGATCTCCTGACCTCATGATCCGCCCACCTCAGCCTCCCAAAGTGCTGTGATTTTTGTATTTTTAGTACAGGCGGGGTTTCACCGTGTTAGCCAGGATGGTCTTGATCTCCTGACCTCGTGATCCACCCACCTCGGCCTCCCAAAGTGCTGAGATTACAGGCAAGTGCCACTGCACCTGACCTGTTTTAAAGTCTTATGTAAAATCTACGTAGGTCAGGTGCACATTGGGAGACCAAGGTGGGAGGATCACTTGAGGTCAAGAGTTTGAGACCAGCCTGGCCAACATGGTGAAACCCCATCTCTACTAAAAATACAAAAAATTAGCTAGGTGTGGTGGCACGTGCCCTTAATCCCAGCTACTCGGGTGGCTGAGGCAGGAGAATCGCTTGAACCCAGGAGGTGGAGGTTGCAGTGAGCCAAGATTATACAACTGAACTCCAGCCTGGGCGACAGAGTAAGACTCCGTCTAAAAAAAAAAAAAATCTTCAGACTTTTAATTGCCTACAGCGTAAAATTCCGACAGCTCAACACAACATGAAAAACCTTTTGTCATCTAACCCCACCCACCTGGGCCAGTCTCCACACCTTCCTTTTCTACATCACCAACGCCAATCTACCTTCTTTCAAGCCCTTTCTCTAGCAAACTTCTAGTCTCAACGTGGACTTTGGTGTCTCATATAACGCCTCTTCCGACGTCTCCAGTTTTTGTCTCTTGCAACCTCTTGCAAGCTCACACCATAAGCCTCCAACTTGAATTGTAATGATTTCTGCCTTGCTCTCCAATAGTGATCTCTATGACAGTAGAGGTATTTCTTTTTCATCTAGTGTCCATAACCCTGCCTAACACATTTCTATCTAACGAATGAAACCTTTTGCATCAGGAGCATCGCATTTGCACTAGTCCTCTAGTCAGGACTAGAACCCACAACTCTACTCCCCCTAGGATGCTCTTTTCATTAGCATAACTACATAGTTGCAAGAAAGCGCAAAGAAAACAGGGAGAAAAGAGGTTAACTAGGCCTATCCAGAACATTTGGCCCACATAGGGTGAGACGTTTGTAGCTTTCCAGGGAGAGAGAATGCTGGATAGATGGGGTCGGGTGACGGAGAGCACTGAATGCTGAGCTAAAGCAGATAGCGTCCATGACTAGCCCAAGGTCACACGTTAATAAGCAGAAGGGCAGCGACTTGATCCCAAGCAGCCCAGCTCCAGAGTCCGTTGGTCCTGACCACTTCATCATACTGCCCCTTAACGGCGCTCCATTACCAGCCCCTTAGCTGGACCGGCGGTATAAATGGGAGCGTCGTGGGAGCAGAATAACGTAGGTGGCATGAAAGGGTCTCCTAAACCCCCTCTATTTTAAGTCTCACTCCTGGCTGCTGTTTGTAATAAGAGATTCTGGCCGTGTTTGTAATGAGCGCTACATGTAGGGCCACGGCGAGGAATGCGACTGCTGGAAAATGAACTAGAACAATGCATTAAAATGCCTGGCACGACGTAAACACTCCGTGATCACAAGTTCAGATCCGGGACGGCTGGAGAGGCACGGGTTTCAGGGCTGAGGGGGGCGTCCCTCCGGAGCCAAGCAGAACCTGGGGACGGCGGAATTCCCACCAGCACAACGTTCCGCCCCCGTGCCTCCGCGCTGGAGAGGCTGCTCATCACCCACTTTCTGAGGCAAGAATGGAGCCGCGCCACAGGGCCCCGGGTCCCCCCACAGCACGCGCCGTCCTCGCCCTCACCTGCCGGCCCCATATACTTGATCACCCCCTGGGTCTTGAACACCTCCCGGGCGGCCAGCAGCGCGTCCTCGCCGTGAGCCGTATAGAAGTCGCCCCGGTCGAAAAGGCGCACCGTGGTGGTCGGTTTCTCCGGCATGCTCTGAAAGAAACGCACGAAGCCGACCTCGGCCGCGCTCTCCAGCTGCAGCGTCTCCTTAGGTTGCACCGCCATGTCGGAACCTCCTCACCTCCTGGCAGAAGGAACTGCCCGACCCCACACCCACTATGCTGTTTCCCGCCTCCCCTCCCACGTCCCCCGAGCGGCGTCCGGTCACGGCGGCCACACCCAATCAGCTTCCAGGGCTGCGTTTCGGTGGGTGGGAGTCTGCCGCGGCAACCAATCATAAGCAGACGCTGCCCAGTTTCCCGCGCACACTGGGGACTTTAGCTACTGCGCATGCCTGCGCCTAGGTCTCGCGCAGACCCGCAGACCTGCATCCTTGGTAGAAAGCAGTTCTCAACTCTTTTCTTAGGTCCAAGGCTTGGAGCCCCTGGGTGGGTGGATGCCAGGGTAGGCAGCCACCAGGTGGGAGATTTCCGGCAGGTACTGAGCTCGTAATGTGCCCGGAAGCATGGGAGTAACATCAGAAGGAAACTTGAAAACAAAACAAAACAAAAAAACTAGCCTTCCTCCTCCTCCCACTATTTTGTTCAAACGTGTGCCCCTCTCCAACTGCCCCTCTCTTTTTCTTTTTAAGCAAACTGCCAACATCGGGATTACGGGTTTATTCTACACAACCTCCTTAACTGCTGCCTTTTAGCCACATTATCGTTTCGTCCACTCGTTGACGATTCACTCATTCAAAAACATTTATATGGCCTGCTACGTCCCAGACTGCTCTTGGCTCTGAGGATCACCAGTAAAAAGAAAAATCACTGCCTTTATTCTGCTTACATTCTAATATGAGAAGATTCAGATAATGAATATAGCAAGTAAATGAAATGGTACGTTAGAAGATAAGTGTTTGTGGCCCGGCGCGGTAGCTCACGCCTGTAATCCCAGCACTTTGGGAGGCCGAGGTGGGCGGATCACTTGAGCCCAGGAGATTGACACCACCCTGGGCAACATGGTAAAACCCATGTCTGTGATCCCAGGTATTAGCGGGGCTCAGGCGAGAGGATCACCTGAGCCCGGGAGGTCGATGCTGCGGTGAGCCGTAAATTGTGCCACTGCACTCCAGCCTGGGCGATAGAGTGAAGACCCTGTCATCAAAAAATACAAAATAAAATAAATAAAAAGAAGACAAACGTTTGACGCCGGGCGTGGTGTCACACGCCATAATCCCAGTACTTTGGAAGTCCAAGCCAGGAGGATCGTTTGAGCCCAGGAGGTCGTCTGCCCTCAGCTATGTTCACGCCACTGCTCTGCAGCTGTGGCGGCAGAGCGAGAGAACCCGTCTTGAGTGGGGGAAGGGAAGACCAGTTAAGGAAGAGGAAGGTTGAAATTTTAAAATGTTAGCAAACAGCGAGCCGCAGTGGCTCACGCCTGTAATCTCAGCATATTGGGAGGACGAGGCGGGTGGATCACCTGAGGTCAGGAGTTTGAGACCAGCCTGGCCAACATGGCGAAACTCCCTCTCTACTAAAAATAAAAAAACTACCGGGCATAGTGGTAGGCGCCTGTAATCACAGCTACTGGAGAGGCTGAGGCAGGAGAATCCCTTAAACTTGGGAGGTGGAGGTGGCAGTGAGCCAAGATCACTCCACTACACGCCAGCCTCGGTGACAGAGCCAGACTCTGTCTCAAAAAATAAATAAAATGTTAGCAAACACCTGAAGGAGATCAGGATCCATCCTGCAAAATTAACTCTTAGAAAAGGTTTTTGCTGACCAGTAGCCGTGGCTCACGCCTGTAATCCCAGCACTTTGGGAGGCCGAGGTGGGCAGATCACCTGAGGTCAGGAGTTCTGAGACCAGCCTGAATAACATGGTGAAACTCCGTCTCTACTAAAAATACAAAAAAAAATTAGCCGGGTGTAGTGGTGGGCGCCTGTAATCCCAGCTACTCGGAAGGCTGAGGCAGGAGAATCCCTTGAACCTGGGAGGCGGAGGTTGCAGTGAGCCGAGATCATGCCATTGCACTCCAACCTGGGCAACAGGGCAAGAGTCTGTCTCAACAAAAAAAAAAAAAAAAAAAAAAAGATTTTTGCATTCTCCGGTTTAGTTTACCCTTCTCCCATGAAAGTGGTTCCAAAACCTAATTCAGCAGCAGAATCACCCTGAGGGGATTTAAACATATTCCTGTGCCCGACCCACACATAATGGGTCTTAATTTCTGGAGTGGGGCCTTGGAATCTTTTTTCTTTTTTTTCTTTTTTTTGAGACGGAGTCTCGCTCTGTCACCCAGGCTGGCGTGCAGTGGCTGGATCTCTGCTCACTGCAACCTCCGCCTCCCGGGTTCACGCCATTCTCCTGCCTCAGCCTCCCGAGTAGCTGGGACTACAGGCGCCCACCACCACGCCTGGCTAATTTTTTGTATTTTTAGTAGAGACGGGTTTTCACCGTGTTAGCCAGGATGGTCTCAATCTCCTGACCTCGTGATCCGCCCGCCTCGGCCTCCCAAAGTGCTGGGGTTACAGGTGTGAGCCACCACACCTGCCTTTTTTTTTTTTTTTTTTTTGAGACGAAGTCTGGCTCTGTAGTGCAGTGGCGCAATCTCGGCTCACTGCCTCCTGGGTTCAGGCGATCCTCCTGCCTCAGCTTCCCGAGTAGCTATGACTACAGACACACACCACCACTCCCAGCTAATTTTTGTATTTTTTTTTTTTTTTTTTTTTTTTTTTTTTTTTTTTTTTTTTTTTTTTTTTTTTTTTTTTTTTTTTTTTTAGCTATTTTTTGTATTTTTAATAGAGACGGGGTTTCACCGTGTTGGCCAGGATGGTCTCGTCTTGATCTCTTGACCTCCTGTTCTGCCCGCCTCGGCCTCCGAAAGTGCTGGGATTACAGGCGTGAGCCACCGCGCCCAGCCTGTAATCTTTATTATTATTATTATTATTTTTTGAGACGGAGTTTCGCTCTTGTTGCCCAGGGTGGAGTGTAATGGTGCGATCTTGGCTTACTGCAACCTCCACCTCCTGGGTTCAAGTAATTCTCCTGCCTCAGCCTTCCGAGTAGCTGGGATTACAGGCATGCGCCACCACGCCGGCTAATTTTTGTATTTTTAGTAGAGATGGAGTTTCTCCAAGTTGGTCAGGCTTGTCTCAAACTCCCAACCTTCTGTGATCCACCCACCTCGGCCTCCCCAAGTGCTGGGATTACATGCGTGAGCCACCGCGCCCAGCCTCAGCCTGGCATCATTTTTGAAAGCTCCCTGGATGTTCCTGACAATCAGCTCGATTTAGAAATCTGGCGGGTGCAGTGGCTCACGCCTGTAATCCCAGCACTTTGGGAGGCCGAGGCAGGCAGATCACCAGATCAGCAGGTCAAGATCAGCCTGACCAACATGGTGAAACACTGTCTCTACTAAAAATACAAAAATCAGCCGGGCATTGTCGTGGGCGCCGGTAATCCCAGCTACTCAGGAAACTGAGGCAGGAGAATCGCTTGAACCCAGGAGGCAGAGGTTGCAGTGAGCCGAGACCACACCATTACACTCCACCCTGGGCGACAGAGAAGACTCCCTCAGAAAGAAAGAAAGAAAGAAAAGAAAGAAAAGAAAAGAAAGGAAGGAAGGAAGGAAGGAATCAATCAATCAATCTCGAGCCTACGGGTTAAAATTCAAATGCCTGACCTGCGCCAGATCACAGAGCTAGTAAGTGATAGATCTAGAATCCAGTCTTCTTCCAGATTCTGTATGCTTAACCATCTGTGTGCTTACAGAATCTGCAGCAAGACTGTATACTGAGAAAGATGTGTTTCTAACCTGAGTTTTATTTTTATTTATTTATTTATTTATTTATTTATTGAGACAGAGTCTCACTCTGTCTCCCAAACTGGAGTGCAGTGGCACAATCTCAGTTGACTGCAACCTCCACCCCCTCTGGTTTCAAGTGATTCTCCTGCCTCAGCCTCCCAAATAGCTGGGACTACAGGTGCACACCACCACACCTGGCTAATTTTTGTAGAGATGGAGTTTCACAATATTGGCCAGGCTGGTCTGGAACTCCTGATTTCAAGTGATCTGCCCACCTTGGCCTCCCGAAGTGCTGGGATTACAGGCATGAGCCCCCACACCCAGCCTCAAACGTGAGTATTATAGTCTGGTGTCATGTGCTACTCCTTTAGAAAAGCTCCTACCATTTCTGATAGACTTTAATGGGTTGGCCAAGCATGGTGCCTCATGCCTGTAGTAACAGCATTTTAGGAGACTTGAGGCCAGAGGATCACTTGAGCCCAGGAGTTGAAGACCAGCCTGGGCAACGGAGCAAGATCTCATCTCTACAAAAAACTGTAAGGCAGGTACAGTGGCTCATGCCTGTAATACCAGCACTTTGGGAGGCTGAGGTGGGAGGATCACTTAAGCTCAGGAGTTCAAGACCAGCCTAAGCAACATGGTGAAACCTTGTCTCTACTAAAAATGCAAAAATTAGCCAGGCCTGGTGGCACCTGCCTGTAGTTCTAGTTACCTGGGAGGTTGAGCCCGGGAAGTGGGGGTTGCCATGAGCCAAGATCACACCACTTCACTCCAGTGGGGACAACAGAGCAAGACTCTGTCTCAAAATAATAATAATAATAAAAATAACAATAATTTTGTTTTAAAAACTAGCCAGGCGCGTGCCTGTAGTCCTTGGGAGGCTGAGATGGAAAAATTCCTTAAGCCCAGGTGTTCAAGGCTGCATTGAACTATGATCGCACCACTGCACTCCTGCCTAAGCAACAGAGCAAGACCATGTCTCAAAAAAAAAAAAACCGTTCATCTAGCTCACTGTCAGCCTTGGCACAGGATAGTTACCTTTAACCAGATTTAGAAGATAGCTAATGATTCCAGACATTATTTGCTTTCTCCAGGCTAATATTAATGATTCTAACATGCTTCTTTCCTACAAAATGTCTAAGAGGACTATTTAGCCTGCTTGGAAAGGAAACACGCTTGAAATTAAAATTTGATATGCACTTGTAATTAATTTGTCTAAGAAACTGTTTTAACAGTATCCTTTGTTTCCAACCATGTGCATGTATTAACTGTTCATGATAAATTCTTTTTTTAATTTATTTTTTATTTTTTTGAGACAGGGTCTAACTGTCACCGAGGCTGGATTGCAGTGGTATGATCAGAGCTCAGTGAAGCCTCTGCTTCCCCAGGTTCAGGTGAGTCTCTCACCTCAGCCTCTCAAGTAGCTGACACTACAGGTGCAGGC